TGGTATTAGAAATAGAGGGTTCGTCTTCTAGGCGAGGCTGCGTGGTCATGGTGTCAAAGAGGGCAAGCAGAGTGCACTGTTCTGGCCTTCCCAGGTAGGTACGGCATCAGTAAGTACTTCATTGTCGAAGAACGGCTTACGCCCTGGTGGAGGCATCGCACGAGTGCATTCGTGTCTACCAGTCGTTAACGATGCTAAAGTCACATTAGTGGTAAGCTTTGCGCCTGCGAAGGATGCGCCTGCGTTCGCGAGAGGCTGAGGCAGGACCAATTAGGCAGACCTTGCGAGCTGAACACGGGAAGTTGGACCCCTTAATTACGTCATCATCATCACCAGCCTCCATAGACACGTACGAACCACAGGTGCGGTACTCACGCCATGAGTGTGTATTCATTAGGAGAAGCGTGCGTGTTCCAGATTTCCAGCTTGAGTGCATACCAAGACATTAATGTCCAACATTAAAACAGACCTTGCACGATACCGAAAAACAAGCTTGTCATAGCCAACGTGCACAGCGCGTCCCAAACACCATGTACGCTCGCAATCGCACCACCAGTGAAATCCGCTAGTACACCTGTGGCGGTACTCGTCGGCTGTCCGAGCCCTCCGCTACCGCTGTTGATAGAGTTGCCGTCGTTGCCATCCGCGGTAACAGACGCGGTGATGAACATCGATCCCTCGACTACAACCACGGGTGTTTCTCCAGGAGTGAGTGAAACTTCGATGCCATTGATAGTAGTCATGGCACCAGGCATCAAGGTTTGACTGTTTGGTAGCAATAAGCCTCCTCCATCAGTTGCGGGAATGAAAGAGACCCCGGAAGGGAGAGAACCAGGCACAATCGTTGTGCCCCCAAGGACCACGCTGCTTGCTGCTGCATTGATCGCAATCGTTGTGGTACCGGCAATCAAAGCGGAAACATCGCGTGAGATGGTCATAGTGCCGATGACGGTCACCTCGCCTGGCTCCAGTTCCGACGCAAGCTCGCTGACGTTGACGGTCGTTCCATCTATGATTACTGTAGATGGACCTGGTGTCTGAGTAGCTTCCAGTAGCGGAATGGTTTGGGTACCGCCGATGACAAGAAAAGAAGCTGAAGCGTCTCGGGAAATCGCAACGTCGTTGATGGTAGTCACTTCTCCTGGGTCAAGTTGTGTGGCGACTTGATCAATGTCAACTGTCGTTCCACCGACTACCGCAGGATCTGATCGAGTTGCCAAACTCGGTGGAGGGAGCGCAAAAGTCGTAGTGCCGCCTATAACAACGAACGAAGCGGAAGTATCGAATGAGATTGCAACGTCGTTGATGGTGGTTTGTTGTCCAGCAGTGACCATGCTCGTAGCACCGCCAACCATGATAGCCGAGCGCGATGGGTCAATTATGATGGGGCCAACACCAGGTAAGACTGTAGTCTGCACTTCGTCTGGACGAGAGATTACTGTGGAAGCCGGAGGGTTAATAGGTAACGGAGGAAGTACAACCGGAGGTGGCACAGGACTTGTTGCTGTCGGACGGCCTGGAAGAGTATTTTGAGGTGATGCAGGAATAGTCGGTTGGTCAGTCGTACTAGACTGGAGATTTGCCGGGGTTGTAGTTCTGATGATCGAGGGCCGGGGAGCCAATACTACTGTAGACGTACTTCGATCTGGTCAGCTGGCAATGTTACTAACATGAACTTGCTGCTTACCTGGATTCTGAAATGGTAGGCTCCAAGATGGCTGGATCAAGTTGGCCATAATCGAACAGTGTTGAAGCAGTTATAACGGTCTCGGTGAATGGAGGTGCAGCACTCGATTGCGGTGCTCCCGGCAACACTATCGTCACGACGCTGGTGAATATTGTCGTCTGGGTAGTATTTGGGCAGTCAGTCCGTGGCTCTGTTCGAGTTGTCATCATCGCGATAGAGCTATTCAGATAACGATTTGTCCTGCGAAAGATAAGCATGCTGCTAGTCCAAGCATGGTGAACCTACGTGAAAGTCGTCGCAGCGGCCTTCGCCGCCCTTTTCTCAAGGGCTGAATCAGATGTAAGTCTCGTTCCCTCGTCGGATGTAATTGGCACTGCCTGGTCGGATGTAACTCCCACTACCTCGGTTCTGGTCGATGTTGTGCCGTTTTTGAAAGGGGTGATGTGGACTATTATGGAAGCGGTTACAGTAACTACGTTTGGAGGAGGGGTAGCAAATTCGGTCGGGGTTGAGGTGACAGTCGACACGTAGGTGAGACTAGTAATGAACGCGGGACATTCCGATGTTGGTGTCAAAGAACGAGCGAAGTTTACCGCGACGCCAGGACCTGTATCTCATAAGTCTATATCATGTGTTTCTAGCCAGAAAGCTACCTGAAAAGAGCAAAACAGCAAGTGCAACCACTCTCATCCGGCACAGTAACTCCGTGTTCGCGTTGGACCACCACATGTTGGAAGATGTGAGATCTTGGGGATTGTCGATGTATGTATCAACCTACAAGCAACGCCTTAGACAAAACGAGGACGAGTGGTCGAAGGGAGCCGGCTAGATACGATATCTTCTATGGCGTGAGCTGATCGGTGGGCGACCAGCCAACATTTTTCAGCCTTGCGACCGGCCCCCAACCATGGTCTGGGCACGACCGTCGTGGTTGGCTAGAGTGTACTCCAATGCCTTAATCCGGCGAAATACGATAAACTTTGATTTTCTCTGCAGGCTACATGGTGTAAGGCTTTACATAGCCCACCAACCATATCATCGAATGTCTGGTTGTGGAGAAGGGCGAGACCAGCCGCAGAACTCCGGTAGTAATCAAGTATAGGCGCATCGACGCATGCGGAGAATTGCAGTTCTGTTGTTATCCTCAATCGCCGCCACCTGCAAAATACCATTATCCTTTACAGCCTGGGGACTTTGAAAAGATGGCGGAAGCACTATCGCTCGCTGCGTCAGGGGGCTGGCTTGGTAACGACGGAAGCTGGTCAACGTACGTCTTCCGCACTTTGTTTTACATATATTCAGGTCTGAGCTGACAATGATAGGTTCCTGGTTCAAGTAGGGACGCCACCGCAAACATTTAATGTGCTGCCGGCGACTCAGGCTCAGAACGTCTGGCTTCCGATTGCCGATGAGTGTGTGAGACTGCAAGGCGGATCAGCCTCGTGCGGCAGCTCTCGCGGTGCAGCTCCGTTCCAACAAAGTCCAAGTCCTGGGTTTCAAGCGAACATGTCGTCGACCTGGGAAGCCATCGGTCTTTATGAACTCGGAATGGGAAGGATCCACGGAATCACCGGGAACGGCCTCCATGGGTTTGATAGTGTTGCGCTGTATAACTTCACATTGGAACATCTGGCGGTCACTGCGTATGCCTCGCCCGGCTTCTGGATCGGACAGATGGGACTGTCGCCGCTGCCACTAAACTTCTCAGAGACGATAAGCTCGCCATCGTTGATCTCAGCTCTCAAAAGCGATGGTCATATACCCAGTCTGACGTATGGATATCAGGCTGGCGCCCCGTATCGCAAGACGAAGATACCCGCCAGCCTCGTTCTTGGAGGCTATGATCTTGCACGTGCATCAGAGCCTTTGACGATTGACATCAACACCGACATGTCCAGAGCTCTTACAGTCGGTCTCCAGGATATCATAGTAACCGACTCATTGAACGGAACACTTTCGCTGGTTGACAATGAGCGAATCCTTGCTCCGATCGATTCGTCCATCCCAGAGATATGGCTTCCGAAGTCTGTTTGCGATCGTTTTGAATCCGTATTCGGTCTGGAGTATCATGAGAGGTCGGGCAAATACGTCCTCAGGGATTCGGCCAGGGATCGACTTCGGGGACTCAATCCCACATTGACGTTCACTATTGGTACCAACGCCGTCACGGGTGGCAACACTACTTTGATCCAACTCCCATATGCGGCTTTCGATCTGCAGGCAGGGTATCCAATCTTCGCGAATGCGACGAACTATTTCCCGATTCGAAGAGCTGATAATGAGAGCCAATATGCAATTGGCAGGGCGTTCCTACAAGAAGCTTACATCGGCGTTGACTTCGAGAATGGCATATTCAACGTCAGCGCGGCGAGATGGGATGATGGGGAAGCTGATATAGTAACTATCCTAGCTGCTGACCGTGATTCCGAGGTAGCCCGCGGGCAGGGCATCTCTGATGGTGCGATAGCTGGGATCGTCGTGGGCTGCGTAGCAGCGATCGTACTCTGCATCCTATGCGCATGGTTTTTTGTATGGAAACCTAGACGAATGCGGAAGCAAAGCACGGTGCTGGTAGAAGAGAAGGGGGCTCACGACGCGCTAGATCCAGCTCCGGAGCTAACAAGTGTGACCTTTCACGAGTTGCCAGCCAAACACGGCGATAGCGAATTAGAGGACATTGTGACTATACCAGAGCTGGGTAGGGAGGAGCATGTTCATGAGTTGCACCCAGATTGCGTTCGATGAAGGAGGGCTGGTGCCGGATGAGGCCTGCCGAACGAGAGACGCGCCGATGACTAAGCACGCTAGCATGATAGCTTCCGAGGCTGTCGCGCTTATGGTCAGCTGCGCCAGGTTAACACCACCTTCTTTCAACATATTATTTCTCAGAAGACTTGTACCTTCCTTTATTTCACCTACAGAGCTTGAGCAAGCGGCACAATTCTTAACCTCTTACTGAATCATATCATCACCTTTTGCACCATGGTGCACCGGAGAATGAGCATATACCTTCTTTTCTCGGCGCCTTTTACATGCAGCAATCAGTTGGCCTATCAAAGCAATATGATCGTGCTTCACATCCATACCGCCTCCATATTCGCCCAATCCGAACTGCTCGATGATCGGACAAGATGACCTCCACTAAGGACCGGCTAGACAGTGTGAAATAACAGTAAGCAGTACGTGAATACTATGTGGCGGATCGCGACTGATGTTATCTCGTTCACAATACGACCTTCCCGGCAGCATGTGAACAGAATCCTGATTCTTCTCCTGATCAGCGCAGCCCATCACAAAGTCCCAACGCAAAACAATGACGGTCAACCCACACACCCTCACGCTGTCCACCGCTCTCGAAGCTCGCTATTCGCCCTCTGGCGAGAAGTGTGCTATCTGCCAGGAGTCATTAGAGGATGTGCCTCCTGTCTACGATTCAACAGATGAACATACACCCGACACGAATCACCAGGCTGGGATGGAAGCCGTTATCACCAAGGTCTGTGGCGACAAACACTTCTTCCACCGAACTTGCATCGAGTCATGGTGGAAGTCCGGTAACCCTCATCTAAACACTTGCCCTATCGATCGTACACTTTGCTATGGTGGCGTACGTGTACCCCAGGAGCCCGTCAATCTTCCTACGTATACTACATTCCCAGGCCATGACCCGCATGCACACGGTACCGTTCACATAGGACGTCTTTCAGCTGATGATTTGAACTTCATTACCAGCGCACGAAACCAGGCATTCATCTCAATGCTCACTCCGCATCAGGTCATTACGATCGGTCCACTCGTGGGCAATCTGCTTGAAAGTGCGATCGAGACTGTGCAGAGACGTACATCGGAGCTTGCTAACGAAGTTACGATCGACTGCTATCTGGATGCTCGCGACCTTGCGGAAGGGCTGGCCGCAGGTTACATCACGCGCGAAGATATAGATTTGGCCAACAGCATCGCCGAGAATATAATGATCACGGCTGTGAACCGTAGCATTGTGCCGGTTGGAGCGAGGGAAGGTGTGCAGGCTCCTTCCACTGCCGGTCCACATATTTCTGACGACATGTTTGGGCAAACGGTAAGAACTGGAGCCGACGAAGCCGTTCCTAACCCCCAACGTGATCAACTCGGCCACAATGGTTTTGTGATTCACAGGACTGTACGCCTCCAGCTACAAATGCACGGGCCACAGCATTACCTTGATAGTATCACTCATATGGTTGGCTTCTTCGACGATGACCAAGATGATTCTGGTGGGGGTAACATGGGTTAGGATTCTGTTAACGAGCCTGGTGATACCATCAATGCCAGCTTCTTCGAACCTCACCATTGAGATTATTGTAGATAGGCAATGGCAAAAAGAGTGTTCGTACGATATACGTGGATGAGCTAGGTGAAGCTGAGTCAAACTGTGAAATCGTCTTCAAGATACCCCGACGTCTACGTCGCTTTCTACAAGCGTGCGCCTTGCCACAAATACTAGCCACCATACCCCTGAAATTTTCCGGATTTATCCATCGGCTCTTATACCAGGTAGAAAGGGAGGTTAATAGCAAGAAGGCAAGCCGGTGGGGAACATACGCAGTTCACACACGGCTCGACTCGAGCTGACACCCCACCCCGCCACCGCATGCGGCAAAGCGCCAGATCCCGCTCAGGATGGCTGGCTAGCCTCCCAAATAATCTCAGCACGTCACGAGCACGAAAGCAACGGAAGCACGGTGTTCTAAGCCCGCAGGTGAAATCGCAAAGATCTCCGACTATTTCCATCTCTTGCAGCTCCGATGGCCATGGCCCCTTGGATATGTCTCCACTGAAGCGTCCGAGTGAGGATGCGGAGCATGAGGACGGGCGCCGACCTGCACCACGAACGCCGAGGATTCGAGCTTGTAAGTACATGGACCGCGCCCCACTTCATCATTGCTTCTCTTGTTTTTCTTACAATGTGTTGTTGTAGGTGCGGAGTGTAAAAGGCACAAGATCAAGTGTGAGCCCGTCGACAATGAAGCGAAATGCGCAAAGTGTTTGCGCAGCGGAACGGAATGCGTTCCTTATAATTTGAATCAACGGCTTTTGGATGAAGATGCGGCGTAGGTCCATACAGCACATGCTTTCTGTATTGTCGCTAAGTACCTCAGTTGGAAATCGAATGCGACAGCCGAGTTGTCGCAGCTGCGCTCTGCGGTGCAGCGTCTGCTGCAGCACAACAAACTGCCCGGCTTGGATAGTCCAGTCAGTCAAGATACGCCGCCGCATTCAGCAGGACGCACCATGACCATCAGCCCGACAAACGTCATGTCTGAGAGCGGTCATGCGACATTTGTTGTTCCGCCGCCCATGGATATGACGAGGGATACCTCTGTCGAGCGCGAGTCTGGAGAAGAGTCTGGCTTGGTGACAGCGCCCATGAAGAGTTTATACGACCTTACCCGGATCCGGAACCTTCGGAGTAGCGTACGATGGAAGCCCAACTCTAATTCTGTGGAAGAGGACTTTATAGCTCAAGGCATTGTGTCGTTACCGGAAGCTGAGGATCTGTTCAGACGGTATATGCAGGACATTCGGCTTTATCTCTGGGCTGGTGTACTTTTCCCGTATGACTCTCTGGATGCAGTCCGTCGCCAGTCCACTCTTCTCACTGCTGCTGTGCTCACCATCTCCGCACTACACACGCCTGGTCGAGACGAAGCATTGCAGAAATGTTACAACATCTTCGTTTCATTGGTCTACAGTGCCTTTCTCGCTCGGCCTCAGAACCTGGATGATATCCGTGCGCTAGCACTTGCCGCTTTCTATCTCTCGAATCTGAGCTGGAAGTTGGCTGGGCTCGCAGTGAGAAACGCTGTCGAGATGAATCTGCATATGTCATACCAAAAGCTGATGCGAGGGCATGAGGACCAGCGCGACAACGTGCGTCTATGGTACGCGTTATACGTCTGCGACAAGCAGTTCAGCATCGCATATGGACGACCATCTATTGTCCACGAAGACATTGCCATCAAGAACATTGAGAATTTCCTCGACAGTCCCAAAACGACCCCAGGAGATATCAGACTGGGAGCGCAAGTGACTTTGTTCAAGATCCTGACAGAAGCATACATTGCCTACGGCAGCGATCCCGAGCAACCGCTGACAGAACCCGACTTCCAACAACTCCGCCTCTTCAACTTCGCCATTGAGCAGTGGCGACTCGCATGGCAAGCCCGATCCGCTGACAGTCCATCCATCGGATCCTACCCATCGAAAGGCGTGGTACTATACTACCACTTCGCCAGATTCCAGCTGAATTCCCTCGCGCTGCGTGCTCTACCCCCGCCCAGCGCAGCCACATCCGAATCCCTCTCCTACGACCGCCGCGAAGCAGCCAACATCGCCATCACAGCCGCAACCAGCACCCTCACTCTAATTTTCGAGGAGCCTGATCTGCGCAAGGCCATGACAGCAGTACCCATCTTCACGCACACCATGGTCGCTTTCTGCGCTACTTTCCTGTTGAAAATGGCAAAGACCTGGGGCGGCATGGCGCAAGTGCAATCGCCAGAATGGGCAACCGAACCCGTTGGCCTAGGTCTCAATTTCAACATCAACCAAGTCCTATCCTTGTCGCGGCGCTCATCCTCTTTTCTCGCGAAGGTGGCGGAGAATCTGAACGAGAAACATATCACGACACATATTGTTCAGGGCATCAATGATCTGTTGAAACGGCTGGATGTTGCGGGTACACCGTCGGGGTCTGTGACCCAGGGAGGCTTTCCGGCTGCTTCGCCTGCTGCCACGACTGTGTTTGATCCTGTCAAAGCGGCTACGGCGCGCAATGATGAGGGTGTGGATGTGACGGCAGGGAATGAGTATAACATGTATGATTTGATTGGTTCTTATGGGTTTGGGTTTGACGAGACGTTTCTGGGTCAGGTTGCGCCTACGAACTTGGATTTCTGGCAGACGGAGCCTTTTTGATGGGCGGTATGTATTCGTAATATGGGGGAACCCCTCCTACCTTGTTCTCCAATGCACTTGAGGGTCTTGGGATCCTTGTGACAATATACTCCACACCTACCTTTACATTATATCACTCTTGAGGTTGTATTCCAGTCATGTTTGACGCTCCTGATTATTCCTACATCACACCTTCATCCAGCCGACACCTCGCATCCATCGTGGTTATTCGAGCGTGGTGAGAGGCGGCGGTATCGGGAGGTGAAGGTGGGTGTGCAGAGCTTGTGAAGGAAGCTGGCAAAGGCCATGGTGATGTTTGGCGAAACGAGCTGCAGTTTGCTACGTCGATGGGATAGGCAGCAGCAGCGATTGCTGTGGCGGAGCGAGTATGTAGGCAGCTATGCAAGTTTAGTAATGCGCAAGGCTGGACAAAGCTGCCCAGGTGCTTGAGGCTGTCCAGGCGAGGCTGATGCTCTGAGCTTCCGCGCGCGCTCGTGAGGGGAAGCTGCGACGGCCGCCGGGGAAGCTCCTGCTCTCCATCGAGACGGTGACAATAATAGAAGCGAGGTTTCTAAAAGTAAATTGTGCGGTCTCGCCGGCGGCACAAGCAACGTGTGAGTGCATCGACAACGTCGCGATTGTTCTGCCCCTCGCTACTAGGCGTTGCTGGGGAAGGCGCGTTTGGCGGTGAGGCGCAATTGGAAGGCGCGCCCCACCGTGATTGGCTTAGCCGCGGCCTTCTCTGCGTTTCTGCCGCTCTGTCTAGAAGATTCTCGAGCTCCACCAAAGACTATATCAGCCCCAAACTCGACTCCTCCCACTACTTTTTCTTCATCGAATTGCTCTCTCCCACTGCCACTACACAGACATCGACGTCGCTCTGCTTGCTCTTACCCACGCGCATTAGAAGAGCTCAGCAACCGAACTACCCCGCCTAACTGTACGTCTTCCCCACACTCGCCCACTCGCCTATCACTTCAGCCTAGTACCATTGAGCGTTGGCTGACTCTTCTCCCACAGCTCAACACCCACACAACCGCCACCATGTCTGGGGAGACCTTCGAGTTCCAGGCTGAGATCTCTCAGCTGCTCGGCCTCATCATCAACACCGTCTACTCAAACAAGGAGATCTTCCTGCGAGAACTCATCTCCAACGCCTCCGACGCCCTCGACAAGATCCGATATGAAGCCCTCTCAGACCCAAGCAAGCTCGACAGCGGCAAGGATCTCCGCATCGACATCATCCCCAACAAGGAGGCCAAGACCCTCACCATCCAAGATAGCGGTATCGGTATGACTAAGGCCGACCTCATCAACAACCTGGGTACGATTGCCCGCTCCGGCACAAAGCAGTTCATGGAGGCGCTGTCAGCCGGTGCCGACATCTCCATGATTGGTCAATTCGGTGTCGGTTTCTACTCCGCATACCTCGTCGCCGACCGCGTCACCGTCGTCTCCAAGAACAACGATGACGAGCAGTACGTCTGGGAGTCCAGCGCCGGTGGCACCTTCAAGATCACCGAGGACACCGAGGGCGAGCAGATCGGCCGCGGCACCAAGATCATCCTCCACCTCAAGGATGAGCAGATGGACTACCTCAACGAGTCCAAGATCAAGGAGGTCGTCAAGAAGCACTCCGAGTTCATCTCATACCCCATCTACCTTCACGTCCTGAAGGAGACCGAGAAGGAGGTCGAGGATGAGGACGCCGCCGAGGAGACCACCGAGGGCGACGACAACAAGCCCAAGGTCGAGGAGGTCGACGACGACGAGGAGAAGAAGGAGAAGAAGACCAAGAAGGTCAAGGAGTCCAAGATCGAGGAGGAGGAGCTCAACAAGCAGAAGCCCATCTGGACTCGCAACCCTCAGGACATCACCACCGAGGAGTACGCCTCATTCTACAAGTCCCTCTCCAACGACTGGGAGGACCACCTTGCCGTCAAGCACTTCTCCGTTGAGGGTCAGCTCGAGTTCCGCGCCATCCTCTTCGTTCCCAAGCGCGCTCCCTTCGACCTGTTCGAGACCAAGAAGACCAAGAACAACATCAAGCTCTACGTCCGCCGTGTCTTCATCACCGACGACGCCACCGACCTGATCCCCGAGTGGCTCAGCTTCGTCAAGGGTGTCGTCGACTCTGAGGACCTTCCCCTCAACCTGTCCCGTGAGACCCTCCAGCAGAACAAGATCATGAAGGTCATCCGCAAGAACATCGTCAAGAAGACCCTCGAGCTCTTCAACGAGATCGCCGAGGACCGTGAGCAATTCGACAAGTTCTACTCTGCCTTTGGCAAGAACATCAAGCTCGGTATCCACGAGGACTCGCAGAACCGCGCTTCC